TTGAATGTAATTATGTGTACTTTGAATTTTGAATAAGAAGAAATCCAGACGATCAACCGGATCCTGTGTCTAATTCTTGCTGCTGCACTTTTCTGTTTTCTACAGATATAATTTATTGTTGCTGTGGTACCCAAGCTTTTGGGACCCGTAACATAAGCTTCCTTGTACTCTTTTCAGTTCATCCTGCTCTCAGGGCTAAATAAATCCTAACAGAGCTAGAGCCTGAAAAGCACCGTTTTTTCCTGTTCACACCGCAGCGGAGCCGCCTCTAAGCTCTGGAATCCGGTTCGTTTCAAGCACCAAAAAATGGTCTGTCTAGAAGCAAGAACCGCATACGTCACGCTTATGTCAGGGGGGGGGGGCGAGATTAACCTGAGCTAACAGGCGAGTACGGCAAATAAAAGTTGTAACAAGCAGTAGTGCTGAGCAAAGTGACTAGAACACAACCACACACTTATAAAAAAAACACACACTTTATAAAGTCAGGCAACACTAACCAGGCTTCATGTGATTCTGTTCATATGTGCCTTACTTTGACCATCCGTTCACTGTTATTGATCATTGTGGAGAGCAGGCAGACGTTTTGTTTTAGCAGCTATCGGATGGAATCAATACATGGGCTGCACAGGTTGTCATGTCCGACTATCACAAGTAGAATCATAATGAAAAATACGCCGGTAAAATGTGCCTGTAGAAAACGGCTTATGCCACAATATAGCAACAACAAGTAGTCAAGATAGTCAGTTTAGCTTTGGTTGCTATGCTAACATCACCCATTTTATACCAGAGAAACTTTCATTTGCAGGTCTCCCTTGAAAAAGAGATTGTTGATCTCAATGGGATTTTCACCTGGTTAAATAAAGGCTACAAACAAGCAAACATAACAGCGTTGTGATGCCAAACAGCGTCAATTCAGACTGAAACACATTCACTTATGGGGAATTGGGGATATGTATCAGCTGCTTGTGTGACAGTCAGACAGTGAATACTTTACAGCGGCTGCTGCCGTGTGAGCTAACCCGGAGCTAACGAGAGAATAAACTCCTGTGGAAGAGTAGCCAGCACTGCAGCGGTCGGTAAATGCCGATGAAACACATTATTAAACAATGAACCACGGTACTCTGGAGAAAAGTATAAGCTTGGAGAAGTCGTTATTTAATTTAATCTGGCTTTGTATGATTAAAAGCAACACGATAATCGACCCGACGCAGTCCCCCATTGTAGTTGTTGTTTTAGTGAGCGCCGTAACACTGTTGGGGACAAAATCAGCGACGTAAACGGTGACGTCATGACGCAGCAGCGGCAGCACCAGTCGGGCTCTGGGCGGTGTGAACAAAACAGGGGCTGAAAAGAAAAACCGATTCCGAACCAGAAAAGCTCTAGCACGGAGCTAGAACGGGAATCGCGTTGATGTGAAAGCCCTATTGGTGGCCGACCACTCTTCCTCCTGAGCCACAGCTACCCGATTAGTACAATTAAGAGTTTTACATTATATGTTATAGTGCATCAAAGTCCATAGAGTCAGGATGGACAGATGGAACTTCAACATGTCAGAAACACAGGAGATTATAATTTCTTGAATTCTACACACAGTCAACGTTGGTTTCATGTAGGGATCGACCGATATGGCTTTTTCAAGGCCGATACCGATTATTAGTAATCAAGGAGACCGATAACCGATATTTGGAACCGATATACATTTGCAGTAAAATCAGAAAATCTTGATGTCAAAATGTAGAATAACAAAAACTCCAACACAACTCAACACAACTTCTTTGAAATGCATTTAAGCATATATTATGTTTAATGAACTTTTAAACATCTTACAACTGGTTTCCTCTCTGTGCCCTTTTCTTTAGTGCAGTCATCTGCAATGAGTTAGAGAGAGAGACAAGAAGTGGGGCTGCAGGCTGACATGCTTAACTAACAATAATGCTTAATTCATTATATCAAAACAATGCCTGTCTATCTAGTATAACATCCCAATAAGCTGCTAGCAACTGCAAAACACTAGTGCTAGCTAATGTTTTGAAACTATTAAAAGTGAGGCTATTACAGTAGACCTAACGTTAGTCTAGTAGCCTCACTTCTAATATTTTGCTAAACATTTGCTAGATACATGTTGGCTAGCTAATGAGCTTCACATATCAACCTGAAAAACTGTGAGGCTCCACTCGCAAATGCTGCAGGTCAATCCGTTAGCACCATTACCACCGTTTAAATTCCAAGAACCAAATTGGTGATAGAAGAATGGAATTTTTTATTTTAATCCCAAATATAGCTGGGTAAGATTGGTGCTAATGGAGCCAAACTGATGTATGCCTAGTTGATATTCAACACCTGTATGTGAGTAATTAAGGCTGGTCTGAAAACAGTGCTCTGACGTGGCAGCGTGCCAGCATGCCAAACGAACCATCTGTCATCTTTCAGAGGAAGAGTTCATCTTCATCATCCAACATCCCCCTGATCTATCTTCTTCTCTTTATCCATTATGTTCAATGCTGTAAATGTCAATATCAAGGAGGGTTGACAGATGATTTCAGCCCCCCCCCCCCTCACCATCACCACTACACACATCGATATCAAACCCATGCTTTGCTAATCAGCTTAGCATTCTCTGGCTCCGCCTCACCCCACTCGTAGTGTAGGACTGATATCTGATTTTGCCGTGTCACTCATCCAGATGGACCCACGTTCAGACACTCAACCCCCCCCCCCCCCCCCCCCCATATCCTACACCACTTTGACCTCTGACCTCCTGTAGTGTTGCCTTGGAAACCTGTTTGGTGGAAGTGAGGAGGACCCATGAGGAGGAGGAGGTATCTGTGTTTGGTATTCCAGGCCAATCTCACGGCTGGTTAAGATCCATGAATAGAGAGTGAGCGTCTCGACCCCCCCATCCCCATCCCTCACTGTCTCTTGTCTTTTCTTGGGTTCTCTGCTCTGCTCTGGTGCCAGACAGATGGTTCGGAACACAAACATTAGTCTGAAGTTCAGAGAGCATTTCCTACCACCTTAACACATTACATTACATGAACTAGAGACAGCAAGAGAGTTGGTAAATAGGACACGATTCTTGAGACAAGGGACAGTCTGACAGTTGTTTTTCAACACTGTCAGATGAAGCTTTTTGTACATTCTCTTTCCTGTCCCCTTACATGGTTTGTTAGCTAGTACCTTTGTATATAAATATGTATTATATACAATATATATTTTTTTTTAAAGAAAGGAAATAACACGTTGTTTTGTCCCTTACCTCAATAATCAGTCACAAGGATAGCTTCCTACCAGTTTTTAGACAGGCCCACTCACTGTCATCGCACAGTGAAATTCAGTTGCAGTTTTACGGAAAAACAAAAGCTTGTCAAATACATCCAAAAGTTACCCAGAATCCCGGTCGGAATAGATTTAAGCTGCTGGTGGTATCGTCAGGTTTGATAAAGGTACTCAAATTGAAATTTAATCTGGCAGCTTCATCCAGAAAATAAACCTGACTTTTACTTTCAGGACCTTAAGTGCTACCTTAAATACTTATTTTACAGAACAATGTCGGCTAAAAGCATGAAAGTATTGCTGAAACAAGGTCCAAGTTCATGAAAACAAAACGTCCAAGAACCATTTAACAAACATTATTGCAGAACTGGTGGGAGAATTGGATTGGTATCAGTCAATAATCAATATAATCCTATATAATTATAAAAACATTTGGAGTACGTTTATTGTGATCTATGTTGTATTGTTGTATGCCAACATGGCTCTCTTGAAGCCCCGCCCCCCTCTCTGTGTGTAATTTATTTGAAACAATGATAACTTTCAGATGTTGTTCATCTATTTGAAATCTCTTTGAAATGAATGAGGTTTACACACAAATCATTTGCACTCACAAGTACAACAAAGTCAAGTATTAAAGGCCAGAAATTGCTGATCATATGTCATCAATTACACCCCCACCCCACTCACACACCTTAAAATAATTTACTAACATGTGTTGTCTTCATAGCTACACAATAAAGTCATTTGAAGAGTCTTGCATAAACTCAACAAGGAATTTGAGATGAAAGTCAAACAATATGCAAGCAGTATTTCAACACAAAGGAAATCTGCTTTTTTAAATGAAAATACACATACACACACCCTGCTCCACACACACATGCACACACACCCACCCCACACACACACACATACACACACACACCCCTCCACAAACACATGCACACACACCCCCCCACACACACACACACACACACATACACACACACACCCCTCCACAAACACATGCACACACACCCCCCACACACATACACCCACACCCCCCCCTCCACACATGCACCCCCCCCCACACACACAAACACACGCGCGCACACACACACCCCCCTCCACACACACACATGCACACATGCACACACACACACACACACACACACACACACACACACACACACACACACACACACACACACACACACACACACACACACACACACACACACACAAACAGTAAGTAACAGAGACATGTTGACAACAGCCTCCTCGGTAAATATTTAGCCAAGCAGGCTCAGTGTAATCTCCCAGCATGCACTGGGCTGATGCTCAATTCTCCAGATGGACAGCTTTTCTGGGAGTTATTTGGTAAACAGCTCTCATATGTTCTGCTATGTTGCAATCCAGACAAATACATGAAGAACTCAGGTAACAAGAGAGCCAACAACTCCCTCTTCCTCAGATCCTATGGGATTTGTATACATAAAGGATGAGGCACAGCACAGTCAGATGATGGCTGTCAGTATCACTCCACCAGCAGCTGGAGGCAGGGGCTTCAGTTTCCCTCATGTAGAGCCCCTCTGGTGGGGTTAGTTGCTACTTCCTGTCATCACTTTGCTATCTTATGTATTTTTTTTTGTATGCTGTCTTTATATAATTGTGAGTTTATATTTTACCAGAGTGGTTTATGTTTGCTTTGTTATATATGATTATGCTGTTTGCTTTGTATGTTGGTGTAG